GATGAACTCAAACGTTTTCAGATGAAAAAGCCAAAAATATTGATATGTCGATTATAGTGTTTTTTCTTGCGTCGGAAGAAGAGAGATGTTTGTCTTATTTTTCTTCTATTAGTGTACATATCGAATATCAAATTATAGTGTCGTGTAGTATTCGTCGTGGGCTCTCGACTGAACTATTCATTTAAGATAAAAACATGCGTCTATAAATATCTTCTCGATCATTATCTTCATCAACACTCACAGATTTATACAAACGAATTGAAGAGGTGCCTATTACGTTTCCTATTGGTTGAGTGCTTTTGAACGAAAATCACTATCCGAAGAAATGAATAATCAACTCAAAGCAGCTATCGTTATACCACATCAGTCTAAATCATACCTGTATTTGATCAAGAGAAAGAGAAACACCAGTTCCGACTTGAAATCTTGAGGGTGTGGTACATCCATAGAATTTAGTAGTATGAAGACCAATTTTGGAGCACAGATTCATCAGGTGAAGATGAATTAGTCTACGAAGTGAACTTCTGTACTTAGAGATGACTTTTGATTTTACTATATGGTGAATTTGACATTACTCCTTAGTCTTCTGCGTAATCGCCTCGTTTTACTACTCTCAACACCTTCATCAGTAGCTTGAATGATTCCGCGATAGGTCACTGTTTGATTTTACCACCTTCGATACGTGATTGGTGATGACACAGTGAGTATAGATTATACAAACAATTTTTTCCATATGATCTTCCTTTTGGTCAAGAAAATAAAATATATGAGTACTTATTGAATCAGTTTGTGCTTCTATATTTAAATGCAAAACAATTTCTAATAAATTTGAACGCTCTGTTACTGTTGTGAGATCAGGATGGACCCAATTTATAGTTTTCTCATTCATTCTCCACATTGTCCGCAAATCTCGTTTTCTCTGGGAGACAATTAGTTATTGACGGCAAAATGATCTTATTTCTAACAATGGCCACATTGTATCGATCATCGTCATTAACAATAACTTGAAAAAACGAGTTAGTTTTATTAAATTAAGTGAAGATCGCCTGCGTGTAATTATGTTTTGAAAATTTGAGTACAGTTATTGCTGCATTAGCAGCACAATTTTCTAATTGTGCAAGTACACATTTAACTATACAATGATTAGGCCAATAGATGTTACTTCACTGTCTATAATAGTGTCAACAAAACGCGTCCACCGTATATTCGGTTTATTACCCCTGGTTGTCCACAACTGATGATAAATTGGAATCTTCAAAAATATCATTTGGTGCACCGTCAAAAAAACTTCTAACTTGATTATATGTTGGCTTTTTTGGGAACATTAAACACATTGTTACCATCTCTTTGAAAATAGTAAATCATTTATCTCGTTCCGTTTACACATCTCGAAGGATTATTTTCACAATAAATTGGCGATTTAGCAACAACAAGTTTTCTTGTTGAAGTTGAATCAGTAACTATACATTTACGACCTTGCATATATATATTTTGAAAAAAAAACGTTTTATTGACAAATATCAAATGAACTGATGTCACTTTATCGATATTATTCTCATAAGAAATAGCAAAAATTGTTC